TCTTTTTTCATAAAATCTAAAATTTATTCATACAATTAAATCAATCAATCAATTTGAATCAAATTGATGACTTGATTTCATAAATTTCTCAAGCCCATTTAATCCGATAGTTGTTTTTTATTTTTTATTTTAATTTTTATAAATTTTAAAATTATTGAAAACTAAAATTAAAACAAAAAATTAATAATTTATTTAAAATAAATTTCAACACTAACAACTAAAATTATAAAATTGTTTAGTAATATTAAAGCTATTTTAGTTTCAATTTCTTTACTAATCATAATAATATTATGACAAGTAATAATGAAACTACACCCATACAAAACATAGTCTATTTCCACCTATATCATTTGATATTTGAGCTCACTTGCTTTTCTGACAATCCCCATGATTCACTTGAAAATGGTGGTTCCATGTCTATTGACAAAGCAGCTCCGGAGGAGGAGGCAACATCCCAGTGATTGGTTACTTCAGTCCTGGCATTTCTAATCTCTTCATGATTTTTTTGATCATTTGACTTGTTTTGTGAAAAACGAATCTGCTCCAACTCCATGGCAATTTCTATCATCTTTGGCCGCTTTTTACCGCTCAAGCTTAAGCATCTATATGCAAGTTCAGCAACCTTTTTAAGTTCTTCGTGTGCAGAACTATCCTTGACTCGAGCATCAAGAATATTCAAGAGGTCATTCTTTTCCATAGAAAGAATGAAATGAGAGGCCAAACTTCTTCCACCTTCTGTCCTTTCTAAAAAAATTGGTTTTTCTCCAATTAAGAGCTCAACAAGGACAACTCCAAAGCTGTAAACATCACTCTTTTCTGTAAATTGACATGACTGATAATATTCAGGATCTAAATACCCAAATGTGCCCTGAACATTTGTGGTCAAATGAGTTTGATCAATAGCAATCGATCTTGATGCCCCAAAGTCCGAAACTTTTGCCCTATACTTTTCATCTAGTAAAATATTTGAGGATTTGACATCTCGATGATAAATAGGAATGGAGGCTACTGAGTGCAAGTAGGAAATGGCAGATGCAACTTCTGATGCAATTGTTAATCGATTTTCCCAAGATAAGGGGAAGTCCTCATTTTCATCATGTATGTACTGGAAAAGTGTCCCATTGGGAATGAATTCATAAACTAGCAAAGGAACTTCAGCCTCCAAACAACACCCTAATAACTTAACAATATTTCTATGATTAATTTGTGTAAGAATGACCACCTCATTGATAAAATCTTTAATTTTCTCTTTATCTAATTCTTTAGATTTCTTAATTGCGACAATTCTTCCATCAACCAACATTCCTTTGTAAACAGTGCCTTGACCTCCCTGACCAAGTATTCTATTCTTATTAAAGTTATCAGTTGCCCTTTCCAACTCCTTGGTACTAAATATTTTGGTCTTTTCAACATTACCTTCAATTGAAGACAATTGTTGTTGCAATAATAAGCCTCCATTTTGCTTGAAGAATTGGCGTCGAAACTTCATTTTCCTTCTCTTTAACATTTTGGGCAACACCCATGCACCAGTAACTACTAAACAAACTATTACCAACCCCAGATTGATACCTACAAATATTAAGGAAGGAGAAAGGTTGACTTTATCAAGAGATCCCCAAAAATATCGAAACTTCAAGAACTCAATGCTCCAAATTAATTGAACCTTTAAGTTCAAGTTTTAAAATGGGTGGGAATAGATTAAAAAAAGAGGACTATCTATTGTATAAGTCATAGCTTATCATAAGATATGCCAAA